TAAATAGGAAAATCCTTAATTCTATTCAAAATAGAAAATCTATAAATCCTAATTAAATTAGGAATTTCATAAATCCTATTCAAGATAGGAAAACCTTAAGAAATAGAAATTTTTCATATCCTAAATAAAATAGGAAATCTTAAAAATCTAAAATCATAAGTGAAATAGGAAAATTAATCCTAAAGTAAAGAGGATAGTAAATCCTAAAAGGAAAAGGAAAAGTTAATCCTAATTAAAAGAGGAAATCTAATCCTAAGCAAAAGAGGAAATCTAATCCTAAGCAAAAGAGGAAAGTCAAATCCGTAAGTAAATCGATTCATGGTTCGGTCTCAAATACCGCATGACACTAACGATTACATGATTTTGACTCAAAACTTTTCCTTGTAGATGTTGAATTACAACTTGTATTTTACTGCCCTAAATCTCTTAGGAGATAATTATTTAAAATGGGCAATGGATACTAAGATTATCCTAAAAGTCAAAAGGACTTGGTGAATGTATCTAATAAGGCAATAATGCCAAGAGAGAAAGATAGATACAAGGCAATATTAGCCACCATCTTATTAAGAGTCTCATAATCCAGGACTATAAGTCCGTGGATGAGTCTATTGCTAGATGAGCAAAATAATGACTTACTGATAAAAACAGTGAATTACGACCTCATAGATTAACCCCATTACCTGATGCCAATAAGGCCGCAGAGGATAAGAAAGAATCCAAAGAATCTAACCACATCTAAAGTAATAGACCACACGGCCGTAGCCGTAGTGGATGGAAAGGACGTGGTTGTGGCCACTATAACTCATCCGGCCGTGGGAACCACTATAACCGTGGATGTAGACCCAATTCCGGCCGTGGTCGAGGGCGAGGACGATGTGGTATTTCCAAACCACAACACTCGACCAAATGATTATGCCATAGATGTGGAATGGGAAACCATTGGGCTAAGATATGTAGGACTTCCAAACATCGTTGTGGCCTCTATCAAGAGAGTGTGAAAAGGAAGAATCCTAAAGCCCATTTGGTATATAAAGATGGTGAACATGATCAAGATGATCTAATAGAGTATGAGACTTCTGATTGCCTAAAAGAATCAAGTTGATAAATCTGAGTTCGACATCAAAACCTCTATGTTTTCTTTGCATTTTATGTTTTCATTGATTGTTATTTCCTTGAATTTATTTTATATTATTTTATGTTTAAAACATGATTCTTGTCCATATAAGAAATGGCCGAGGACAAGAACATATTTGTGGTGGATAGTGGAGCCACACAAAAGATAAGAGATATTTTCCTAAATCTCATAATGAAAAAATGCCAATATTAGCACTATAGCGGGTATAGCAAATCTTATTGAGGGCTACGGCCAAGCCCATATTCTATTACCAAATGGCATGCATCTTGAACTAAGCGATGCCTTATATTCACCCAGTTTCAAAGAAATAAGATTAAATGGTTTCCATATTGAAACAAAGGGTGAAGGGAACAAAGAATTCCTAAATATAATTGAGATCACCCAAGGACATAAGAAAGTCCTAGAGACTATACCCGCATTATCCACTGGTCCCTACTATGCTAAAATCGATATGATCGAAGCTAATATGGCAATGAACAAAGAGTTCATCGAGAAATTCACTTTATGGCATGACCGGCTTGGCCATCCGGGTCATAGTATGATGCGTAAGCTTATGATAAATTCAAGGGGGCACACCCTAAAAGAGAAAAGAGTTATCCCTAAGAATCTCACGTGTGAAGCATGTTCACAAGGGAAACTCATTATAAGGCCATCACCGGCTAAGGTAAATAAAGAGACCTTAAACTTTCTGGAAATGATACAAGGGGATATATGTGGACCAATACACTCACCATGTGGGACATTTAGATATTATATGGTCCTCATTGATGCATCGACAAGATGGTCGCATGTTTGTTTATTATCCTCTAGAAACCAAGCGTTTGCTAGGTTGTTGGCCCAGATCATAAGACTGAGAGCCCATTTTCCAGATTTTCCGCTTAAGACTATACGTCTAGATAATGCCGGTGAATTCATGTCCCAAACGTTTAATGACTACTGTATGTCCATGGGGGTAAGTGTGGAACATCCCGTGGCACATGTACATACTTAGAACGGATTAGCGGAATCCTTCATTAAACCAATTTAATTGACAGCTCGACCATTACTCATGAGGTCGAAGCTTCCAGTAGCCGCTTGGGGACATGCTGTTTTACATGCATCAGAGCTTATACGCATAAGGCCATCTAGTGAACATAAATATTCGCCATCCCAATTATTAACGGGTCATGAGCCAGACATATCCCATCTAAAGACATTCGGACCCAAAGAGAGTTATAAAAGCGTACATACCAGCTTGTAATGCACCAGTACGTATTGATGTTCACAAGGAACACAATCAAGTTGCTACAGAGTCTAGACAATGTAAGAAACGTGGTAGACCAATAAGTTCCAATGATAAAAACCCTCGGAAATTAAATAAAGGTGCAATAGGAATCCGAGGTTACTAAGGAAACCATCCCAGACATGGAGATAAGGCCGGCTCTAAGGTACAAGTACCATATAATGTAGCTTGGGACGCCAAGCTGCAAAGTATTAAAGGTCCTGACCATAATAAATCTCAAATCGATTATATCATGTCTGGAACATAATAGAACATATAAGAAATGTCGACATAAGATGATTTTGCATGCAAGGTAGCACTTGAATTTATGAATATAAATGAGGATCAGGAGCCCACGTCTATACTAGAGTGCACTCAAAGACTTGATTGATTAAATGGTACAAGACCATAAAACGTGGAGCTAAGAATCATTAAGAAAATGAATGAGTTTGGTCCGACCTTAAGGACACCATTCGATGTAAAAACCAGTAGGACACAAATGGGTCTTTGTGAAGAAGAGAAATGAGAATAATGAAATCGTGAGATATAAGGCACGGCTTATAGCACAAGGATTCTCACAAAGACCGTGGATAGATTATGAAGAAACATACTCCCCTGTGGTGGATGCTAAGTCTGGCTATATAAAGGAAAAGATTTGATTTGCGGCTAATGGATGTAATGCCTGCATATTTATATAAGTCCACTGGATAATATATATGAGATTACCAGAGGGTATTGAGCTCAAAGATAAGAAAGATTCTCGAGAATATCACTGCATAAGGCTGGACAAATCCTTTCATGGACTTAGACCAAATGGGCGTATGGAATGTTATAAATGATCCCATTAGTCCATGTATTTTCATAAAGAGGTTTGCAAACAAAGGATTTGTAATCATAGCAGTGTATATGAATAATTTAAACCTCTGGGTAATCGACCAAACAGTTGAGTATATCTAAAAGAAAGACCTAGGCAATAATTAAGATCTGTTTGAGATTACAACCTGAGTACATGAATAATGGAATCCTTGTGCATCAAAAGGCATATACTGAAAAGTACTCAAGGATATTTAATAAGGACCAGGCCCGCCCATTGACCAGGCCCAATGGTGGTGAGAAGCCTTGGATTGGATAGTGATCCATTCGGTCCAAAGAAGGACGAGGAAGAAGTTCTCGGTCCTGAACTGCCATACCTCAGTCCCATAGGAACGTTAATGTACTTGACTAGCCACACTAGACCAGACATATGTTTTGCCGTGAACCTCCTTTGTCTAAATTTAGTTCATGATCAACCCAAATGCACTGGAAAGGTTTGAAGGAAGGTTTGGTTAAATTTTAAAGTTTATTCTTCCTACTTTGTTTATTTGGGTTTATTCTATACTGATCTAACCAAAAAAGGTCTAGTTTGCCTTGGTTTAGTTTGTTTTGCTGATGCAGGTAAGATCAGATTATGGCATGGTCAATAAATAGGAACTACGTGTGGCTTGATCCCTTCCAAGGGTACGTAGGCAGCCTTCTTCAAGGCGCAGCTACTACAACATCAAAGACCATCATATGTGAAGACAACGTAGTCATGTATCGCTCAGCTCAAGGACGGCTACATCAAGGGAGATCGGACAAAGCACATTCTACCTAAGTTCTTCTTTACGCATGACCTACAAAAGGATGGTGAAGTTCAAGTGGTGCAAGTTTGTTCAAGCAACAACTCAGCCGATCTCTTCACTAAAGCACTACCGACAACACCATTAAGGAAGCTCACACATCAAATTGGAATGCGGAGACTTAAGGACTTGCAGGGATGACCAAAACAGGGGGAGTAATGCGTGCTGTACTCTTTTTCCTTCACCGTGGTTTTGTCCCAATGGGTTTTCCTGGTAAGGTTTTAATGAGGCAGCATCCCCAAGCGCATTACAAAGATCCTTTGGCATCTACACGGTTATGTCATCCAAGGGGGAGTGTTGTAAACCACATAACGGATGGACTCCATAACCGTGACTCATGTCCATGTTCTAGAAGGCCCATGTCCATGTTCTAGAAGACCCATGTCTACCTTCTAGAAGACTCGCCCAATGACGGTTTATGTTAGTCTTAGTGGGCTTTGGGCTTTAGGGTTTCCTAGTCCAATTGGGATTTGTCTCCCTTATTGTGTATATATATAAGTTGTAACCTCATTCATTAATCAATAAGAATACACGAGATTCATAACAAATTGGAGTTTTTTTTCTCTCTAGCACTATCTCTTTACAAAACTTCTTTCTAAACCAATCCACAAGCTCGAAGCTCAACCACAGTCCACACTTACCAGTTACCAAACCAGCTTCATAAACTCTTCGAAAATAAACGCAAAACCAAAATAAATAAATTAATAAAAGAAACCTAATTTTGTTTCAAATAAGGGTAAAATGATCATTAAAAATTAAAAGAGGGCAAACTTAAAAATGGACTTTCAAAGGGGACATTTTTGAAAAAGGGTATTGAAAATAGGACATTTTTAACCATTTCTATAAAAGAAATTGGAGTTTTTGGTTTTTTTTTTTTTTTTTTTTTTTTTTTTTTGAACAAAGGGCAGTTTTTTGTAGTTATGAATTTATATGATTAGGACTTGGGCATCTTCTACACTCGGTGCATATCTCCAAATTAGTAGCAAATCCAAAACTCCAACAATGGCGATTTCTTTCGTAATCGATCCTTCCATTGCTCCTTGCTTCTCCTTCTCCTCTCCAAGAACCATACCTTTACGAAACCTCCATTTCCATGGCAGACCAATATCTCCATTGATTTCAAAACCCAATCTACGATTCCCAATCTTCTCTGCTCACCAAGTAAGTTCTTCTTCACCATTTGGATCTTCTTTGCTTTTGAAATTCACCAGACTCCTTCTAATTTCGAATCTGTTATGATTCGTAGACTAATAGTGAAGAAGCGAATTCAAAGCAACAAGCAGATGTAAATACCCTAATTAGGTCTTATAAACAAGCTCTCTTTAATGGAGACGAAACCTCAGTTGCACAAATCGAAACGATGTTTTGCAAAATCGAGAAAGAGAAGAACAAAATGGATCAGAAGGTTTTATCATTATCAATGAAGATAGCTTCAGAGAAAGAGACCAAAATCCGATTACAAGCTGATTTTGATAATACAAGGAAGAAGCTTGGTAAAGATAGGCTTAGTACTGAGTCTAATGCAAAAGTTCAGATTATGAAGAGTCTTTTACCAATTATTGATAGTTTTGAAAGAGCTAAGCTACAGGTTAGAGTTGATACGGAGAAGGAGAAGAAGATCGATACGAGTTATCAAGGGATTTATAGGCAATTTGTTGAGGTTTTGAGACATCTTCGTCTTTCGGCTATTGCAACTGTTGGCAAGCCCTTTGATCCTTTGGTAAGTTAATGCTATTCGAAATGAAGAATGTTGCATCACTAAGCAGGCTCTTATCTAGTCTAGGAAGTACTCAAAATGTACTTGAAATTAGTAACAGTGTTAGTGATTGTGTTTGCCAAATGTTGTAGAACGCTTTGAGATTAAGAGAACTTGGTTACATAATTCTTCTGTGCTAGTGAGTGATGATAAGAGGACTAGTGTTATGCCTCTGAAACCTAATGGAATTAGTAATTTTGTTGTGAAGGCTTTATTTTAACACAACAAGGTTATATGATCTTTGTTTCCGAGTGAGTGATAAAGCTCCATGGCTACTTAAAGTGTGTTTTGAGATGGTTTGTTGTTTTGGGGTTCTGGGTGACTTAGCAAATACCTTTTATTGTTGTTGTTTCATGAGGCTATTTCGCGAGAAAAATCTGAGGCTAGTGAGTGATGATAAGAGGAGTTATCACTAAGAAGGGGCTTATCTAGTGTAGGAAATAGTTAGTGATTTTGTTTGCTAAATGTTGTAGAAGGCTTTAGAATAAGATAACTTAGTTACATGATTCTTTTGTGCTAGTGAGTGGTGATAATAGGAGTAATGTTTGTTGTTTGGTGTTTGATCTTTTGGTTAGTAAAAGCTCTTCAAAATTGTTTAGCTTATGCATAATCATAACCGAACAAATCAAGTCATAACAGCTCTTTGTTGCATCACTAGGAAGGCACTTATCAACTTGGAATTGATAACAGAGTCATAGTGTTTGCGAAATGTAGTAGAAGAATTTATATTCAGACAACTTGGTTACATGATTAGTATGTGCTAGTGAGTGATGATAAGAGAAGTAATGTTTGTTGTTTTGGAGGGTTTGGAGTGACTTAGTAATACTCTTGATTGTTGTAGTTGCACGAGGCTATATCACGAGAAGAATCTGAGGTGGTTAAAGCAGGGATAATAACCGAGGAGCTGAAGCGGGGATTTGTTCTAGGAGATCGTGTTCTGAGACCAGCAAAGGTTAAAGTCTCTTTAGGACCCGTCAAAAAGAAGACTCCTTCACCTGCTGAGGAGATAACACCTTCTTCTTGAGTTCGAGGTTGGGTAAAATTTTCAATGTCTTGTGTTACAGTCCATTTTTTATTCACCTATCAAAAGGGATAACAAAAACGCAGCTGATGTTTGAATGGGAAAGTTCTTTGGCTGCTGAGATTTATGATTCATGTTTTACGATATATATATATATATATGACTTGGTTAGTCATGGATTTGATTCGTAGCTTCGGGTTGTTTCTTGTAGTGTCTTGGTGAAAACATCATTTTTTAACCTGATTCATGAATTAAAGTATCTCTCTCACAACAATTTAGGAAACACTGATTCAAGATTTGGGTTGAGATACTTCACACTACACAAAATGCTACACTACATTGCACACATCCCACCATAAAAGAGTCAACAACATTATAGAACTCTGTAACTTGAATCTTCCTGGATTCTGACACTGAATCTCTTCATGCTCGTCACGTTTCCGGATCATCGAAGCTTCTATAAACCTCGGAACTCACAATTTCTGAGAAAAAATGAGTCCAACAGACCAAGTAAATAAGAGGAATATGGCTCAATACAAGCTTCCATTGGGGAACATGATTCAAAGTGTAAAGAGGCTTATTACCATTGGGGAACAGAATTCTGAGAACTGATACTTCTGTAAAACTTGGCGATTCGACCGCGAGATTCGGGTTTTGGTTTAAAGGTCTTCTTCCTCAAGCCAAAGATCTCTTGAACCAGAGGAACATGGCTTAATACAAGCTTCCATGCCAGAAACCACCCTGCAAAACCCAAAACAAAAAAAAAAGTCAAATCTCAAATTCCAATTATGAAATACCCAAATGATCAAAACGAGTAACAACATCATCAGCTAAAAGCCCTAAAGATCAAAACTTTGGGGTCAAATTCTTCAGGTTTGAAGGAGAGAGAGAGTACAAAGAGCGATGAAGCAGACGACGAATGAGATCGCCAGAAGCGGACGTATGATGAAGAAGAAGAGATTGTCGAGGAACGAAGGAGATTCCATGGATGAAGCTATTGATTAGAATTTCTTGCTTTCAAAGATCTCTCTTTTGGTAATTTTTAATTTCGGGGAAAGAAGAGGATACAAAATTGAAAATACCAAACTTGATTTTTTTTTGGTAACTTGATTTAAAAAGAGGTTTTCTGTTTTGTCTTTAAAAAAATCGAGTGATGTTAAAAAAAAACAAAATAAAAATAAATCGACTATGGGCATTTCTAGCCCACTGGGCGTTCGGACGTATCAAATATTTTTAGGGTTTTGATTGGTTGTTCGCTACCACTTGCGTTTGTAGACAGTTGTGATTGCTATCGTTTAAAATTAACATATAAATCGTTTAAAACTGTTTTGGACCGTTTTAAACGGTTCAAAAATTGCTAAATTTCAAAAAATTTACTCGCAATTGTTTGTGGTTGCGGACGATAGCCGTTGACAAAAAAAATAATAAACAACAAATAAATTTTAAATTTTTTTTGTCAAATCCTAGATATATTAACGTTAATTCTCAAAACCCTAATTTTTCTCTCTAACAAAATCATGACGTCAATCCAAAATTAATAAATAGCAAAATATGACGTAAGTATTGTAATAGTATTACTAGATCATAACCCGTGCTAGAACAGCACGGATGAAATTTTAATTTTTAAATATTTATATAAAGTTGGATTATTGTTTGTTTTATAGTATAATTTAATAATTCTTTACATAATACAATGACATATAAGGATTTTTTATTTTATTTTATTTTGTTTGATGAGAAAATATTAGGGGGTGGGGTACGGTTTTTCAGTTTAGTATCGTTTTTTTCGTTTTGTAGAAAGTGAAACCATATAAAAACCGTATGTAATTCGGTTTAGTTACAGTTCGATTTTTACGGTTTTTTACGTTTTTTTGGTTAAAAATAAAACGTATGTATTTTGATAAATGCTAGTAGTAAGTGAAAAAAAATTGCGTATATAATAAACATATTTTGGTATATAATAAGATTAAATTTAACCCGTGCGTACCTATATTTTTATTTTAGAATCCCAATGAAAAATTTATGTGCACAATCCATCATTCATTATTTTCATATATACTTATAGAATCAAAATTTTAAATATTTAGAGGTGTCAAACCTTATTTAACTCATCTCATCATATAATCTTAACATGGTTACGGTTATAAAGATCATAACTTTTTTTATCATATAATACATTACATTTAACCTACTACTTGCTATAAATATTTTAAATATTTATGCTATGAAAAATGAAATTAGAGTATTTATAACTTTTATCTTTTGATTTATTAATTATTTATGATATTCTTTAAAATATTATATTAAACTATTTTAAAAAATTTCCAAATTAAAATATTTTTCATTTTTTATTGTAGAATATAAAATTAAGAATTTTTAAAAATAATTGTATGAACTTAAATATAAATATTCAAATAGTTATAAGGATCATAACTCATTCCATCATATAATACATTATATTTAACCCACCGTCTATTATAAATATTTTTTAAATATATTTGTTTTAAGAAAACCAAATTAGTGTATGTATAATTATTTATTTATTTATTTATTAAGTATTGATGATATTTGTTTTTAAATATCAATTAAAACTATTTTTAAATATTCCAAATTAAAATATTTAAAATTTTATCGTAGTATATAAAATCATATATTTAAAAAATATATGAAGTTGAATATAATTACTCAAATTCTGACCCGTTATTCAGGCGGAATTTTTGTTGGATTTATTTTTGTTTTAAAGAAATATATTATCCAAGTCTAAATTTTTGACTCGTTAAATTTTTTTTTCATAAATTGAATAATTTATATTCTTTTTTAAATATTCAAATCATGGCATATACGGAAAAAAAAATCTATTTTCTATTTTTATATGGATGATATGATGATTTATTTGTTTCACAATAATAGAATCATATAAAGATGAGAGGTGAAAATTTTACAAGGTATTTTAAAGGTTTTTTACAAATGTTTTGGCGGGAAAATTGCGGGATCACTTTTCCTGCCAAAAAATATTTTGTATTTTGTGGACCTAATTTTATTTCAAATAAGGGTAAAATGATCATTAAAAATTAAAAGAGGGCAAATTTAAAAATGGACTCTCAAAGGGGGCACTTTTGAAAAGGGGTATTGAAAAAGGGGTATTTTTAACAATTTCTCTATAATGATTAATAACAAATTAATAAGTTAGATATCAAATTTTATATATTCATTTTGATTGGTCATTTAAAAATAATAATAATAATGTATTTTACGTTTTTATAATTAAATTAAATTAATTAAATTGTATAAATTGACTTGTTTATCCTTAATGGGATGAATTAATTTACTCTTTGAAATTTTATCTCCAATGGCATTCTTAAGTAAATACTTACAAAGGTGAAGGTTGTGGATGTCGGATTCACACACTCAAGTATTTTATTAAGTAGGAAAGATTATTCTTGAGGGACAAAAATGAATATGTAAAAACTTATAAATTGCTACGAAAATTGCTATAGTATTTCTTTCTTGAGAGGAAGATCCCCCTTTACATGGCCATTGGCCTTTATACATAGAGAAACGACATTTAAAGTGGCTAATTAAGTATAATTATTCTCTCTTAAATGTGTCCGTTTTGATCTTCGGCTTTAATGCCTCAACATTTGAATTTGAATTGACTCTGATCTTCATGGGCTTCGCCTTTTGGCCCGAGTATCCTTGAACCGACTTGCCCGTGTCTTCTACACCGAACTCATGTCACAGTGCAGTCACTTCGGATTCCCGAAGTGGTGACAACCACTTCGACCGTTCCTTTGGCTCATGGGTACAATGGGCTTCATTCTTTATGGACCATTGTCTTGACTACGTGGCAATCTTTGGTTGGTCTCGGACTTCTGGTGCGGGATCCGACACCAACAATTAGCCCCCCCCCCAAGTTCTTCGAAGTGTCATTCCGATTCGGAGGACTTTAAATGCTTTAAATGACCAAAGATTGCGCTCGAGAATCTTTCTGATTTCCCGCCGAAAATCTCATCACTCCTTTAATTTCGGCACTAGCCATTTTTACCCGATTGACATCTGTCATCATTATGACCATATATTAATTAATTACTATTAAAACGGGAAAAAACCTTCCCACTTCCCACACAACTTCCAAGGCGGTTTCATCATTAGTTTGTGTGAGGTAACTTTTTTTCACCATTACTTCCTTCTTTTACTTTTGTGCTTTAATCAAAACTTCTCTCTATTTTTCTTCGCCGAACCTCTCTTCGCCGGATCTTGAATTTTTCATTTTTATCCGATGACTTCTGATTCTGAAAGACCCGAATCTCCGTCTTACGACGAGAGGCGTTCTAGTAATGACGAATGCACTCGTCCTAACGATATCGCCGGTCCTCATTACAAATCCACCTGTACTCTTCAATCCCTTGAGCGATTAAAGGGGCTTTGTCAAATTCCTCCTGGAATTATAGCAGAGGCGCAAATAGCCGATCCTACGGAATCCCCGGAGAACCACCGTGTCGGCTACTTTTGTGTTTACGAAATTTACTTCAAGGGCTGCGGATTGACCTTCCCCCTTCCCGAAGCCCTAGTTCGATTCTTGGCGGCTCTCGAGATTGCTTTACCTCAATTAACCCCCAATCTCCTCCGAACTATCCTCGGGATTATAACCGTTGCGGCGGAAGCTGGCTACGTCATTGGAGTCCCCGAGCTGAATGAACTTCTAAGTGTGCAAAGTTCGTCAAAGAAAACGGGATACTTCTCGGCATACCCAAATGCCAATAGAAACGTCATCTCGCACCTCCCGAACAAGGATGAAAACTGGCACCATCCTTGGTTTCTGATTAAGAAAACTCCTGCTTCGATTGGGAATCTTTCCGATGTACTCCCATCGAAGTGGTCTACGAAACCTGGTAGAGACTAGGTCGTATATTCCTTTCCTGTTCATTTCTTTACTGACCAAATTCGTTGTTTCATTTCGCAGCTCTCATCGCTTCAACTCTCCCGACCGAAGAATTCGTCGGGTTCTTCAAAACAATCCTTGAAGGGGAAACCCTTTGGAATTCTTTCACCCTCGATCGGTTTGTCGAGGCCAACCGAAAACTCAGGATGAGTCCTCCCAATCTACTTCATCGTCTTCCGCCTCCTCCCTCAACTCAGGGAATGTCAGCTCGGGCCCTTACTGCCCAGCGTAAGAAACTCTCCAAGCCGATAGCAGAGGCTTGTGATGAAAACAAGGCGTTCCTTGCGGCCGCCATTGACAAAAAAGATTACAGCAGGACCCTGCTGGTTGATGATAACAGCTCCGAGGGAGCCAGATCCGTTGCTGCTTATAGGTTAACACCTCGTCGCGAACGCCGTGACGAACGTTCTCCTCGGAGAGAGCGGTCTCCTCGTCGTGATTCTCCTCGTCCTTCCCGAGACGATTTCAGCGGTGAACCAGTTAAGAATTTGGTTCGTAGGAAGAGGGACAAGTCATCCCGTAGTGACTCGTCTCCGCGAAGGGAGAAATCAAGGGCCCGGACTGACCGTTCACCTCGATCATCTCCTCCTACTGTACCAATGGGTCCTCCCCGTCCTGTTGACATGTCTTCTTCTTCTCAGCCCGACAGCGAAAAGACTGCTCGGAGCGCATCTCCTAAAAAGGGAGATTCTGAACCTCGAGATGCTTCCTCGAAGTTAAAGCCCGTTCTTGTCCCTCAAGTCAAATCGCTTTCAGGTTTGGTGATTTACACATACTCTAGAGTTTTTGTTTCTATTAAGATTCTGATTTTTACAACTCTTCCTTCTTCGCAGCTATGGAGAAAGAAGGCAGCGTCTTCCGATGCTTCAAAACCCGATCGGGTTCGATCTTGCCAGACTTCGACAAATGGCGCCCTACGATTCGTGAACGCTATTTGCTTCACGCGCATCACTCATCTCGGGTTAGTTCCGTTTTTTGTTGTTTTTTTTATTGCATTGCCATTCTGCGAACTGACTCGCCATCCCGGGTTTATGTATAATGCCAGGCTCATAGCGAACTTAACGACATGATCGAACATTACGAAGGGCTGGTCATTGGACGGGAGAAGGAGATTGACACGTGGAAGAAGAAACTCTCTGCCCTTGAGG